ATGTGCAGGATTGGCAGTTTTAGCTGGTGGAGGGAGGCCGTGGGGGCAGGTGACCTGGGAGCCTCAGGTGCGGCCCCAGACAACAGGCGTCCCCTCTGTAATTGGGTGTGGAAGCCATTGGATGCTGGGTGGCAACAGAGCAATTGAGGCCTTGGGCTCCAAATCCAGACCCCTGGGGTCATGCTGGGTCCCAGCTGCATGACCCAAAGCTAGTGAGAGAACCTCTCTGAGCCCCAGTCACCCTATCTGAAACATGGAAATAATATTAACCCCTCTAGGACACCTAGCACACCAGGAAGGTTATTTTTTGCCTCCAGCTCTTTATTCCTGGGTGATTTCTGACCCCTGCTGGCCCTGGTCAGCATGGCATGGCCGGCCCTGGTGGGTGGGCAGGGATGGCAGGGTAGATAGAGACCCCAGGTTGCTGACCTGGGTCCTGAGTGAAGGTTGAAAGCATGAAAAGAAGGGAAGGCCTTCATTCAGCAGCCAACATTTTTTGGGAATTGGAGGCTCCCCACCCTCTAGCTCCTAGTCTAATGGCTGAGGGGACCCGTCCTGCAGACAGTGGGGGCTCCAGAAGGACTTGGAGCTGGGGAGGGATATGCCAAGAGCAGCAGGGAGCGGGAGGGCTGGGTGGAGGGATGTCCTCAGTCTCTCAGTCCAGGCCAACACTGAGCTCAAACCAACATCCCTATGGCTCCAAGAACTGCCCTCCCCACCAGTTTGTAAAGTTACCCATTCACTGAACCCTCTTTCTCTTACATCCACATTCTCATCTGAGTCCAAGCAGAACTGGATTTCTCTCATTTCACTGACCAGGAACCCGGGACCTGGAAACAGACAGTGACATGCCCAGATGCTGTGGGGGACTTCGGGGCTCTGCGGCAAAGGATCCTAGGCTACAGGCACTGTCCAGTCCTTTCATTGGAGCTGGGGGATTGCATTGAGGTCTCCTCTTGGCTGTTGGTGGCAGGAACAGACCTGCAGGAGGAGAGTGATAGCACCCCTCCCTCTCAGCTCCTGGCCGGAGCCAGGGCCGTAGGCAGGGATTCCTTCCTTTCTCTGTTTGCCGCTCTCCTTGGGCTTCGGTTTCTGCACCCATGAGACAGTCAGCTTTGGTGGCTTTAGAGCACAGGAAGGATGTGGGTAGCAGAAGGTGCAGGAGGCTGTGTGACCCTTCAAAAATTGCTCAGCCTCGCTGGGCCTCAGCTTCCTCATTTGTAAACAGGGGTAATGAGAGGGTTTGCGGGAGGGTAAAGTGAACCAGAAGGGGTCGGGGCTTCGCTTAGCCTGTCCTTTACAAATGCTGTTTTGGGGACAAGGCAGCTGAGGGGAGGAGGAATGGAGCTGACCATCACTAATGTAAAGATCTTGTCCACCTTTCAGGCTCCAGGACCTGCATTTGGGGTGGTGTCATGGGCTCTTTGGCTGGTCTGGCTCAAGCCAGGGTCTGCCCCTCTCTGCCTGGCTGCCGGGGGCTCTGGTGATGCCTCTCAGAGCGGGGCCTCTGCAGACAGCACTGTGATGACCATCTGCACGCGCAGCTGGGCTGGTCGTTGGTCTGGGGGTGAGGCCCTGCCCAGTGTTCTGAGGCCTGCAAGGCCTGTGCGCGGGAGCTGGAAGGGCAGGGTCTGGGGTCAGACGGTGTTGCAGGCTGGCTGGTGGCCATGAGGGCCAGGGATTTATACTGGGTCCAGGAGGGCAGGAAGGGTGAGGATTGTGTTGCTGACCAGGTGACCACACCCTCATTTCTCTCCCTCTCGCTGTCCTGCGTCTGTCTCTGTCTGTCATTCCCTTCTTTGTAAATCTGTCTCTGCATCTCCCCATGTGCTCTGGCCTTCTCTCTCTCTTCTTGTAAAATATTAAAATTTTCATATGAAATGTAAAATATGAAATATTAAATCTCTTTGTGAAATATTAAAGTGAGAATAGGCCAACAGGCTCCTTTGATCACCGTCTTCAATCCCAGGTCAGCATGTGTCCTTTCAGATCTTTCTCTATACATTTAAAAGCATAGAAACATATTTTTAATTTATTGTTTTAAATAAATGGTATCATATGTATCAGCGTGATAAACTTGTGTTTCCCTGTGCAATCTGTCATAGGCCTCAGGGAGCAAGTCTTAGTGACCTGTCACTGTGTAACAAATATCCCCCAAGATTAGTGGCAAAAAAAGAATTATTATTATTTTTTAAAAGATTTTATTTAAGAGAGAAGGGAAAGAGAGGGAGAGAGAGAAACATCAATGTGTGGTGGCCTCTCATGCATCCCATACCAGGGACCTGGCCTGCAACCCAGCCACGTGCCCTGACTGGGAATCGAACCTGCGACCCTTTGGTTCACAGACTGGCCCTCAATCTACTGAGGCACACCAGCCAGGGCAAACAATTTATTATTTCTCATTATTCTGTGGGTTGGCTGCCAAGTTCCTTCTTGGTTAACTCAGGAGGCCTGACGCCTGCAGAGTGCACCGTAAGTCCTGAAACTCTCACCAGCGCACAGGCCCCTGGTGCTGTTGGCTGGGGGCCTCAGTGCCCCTCCCAGGGCTTTCTGGCTTCCTCACGCCAGGGCAGCGTTTCAGAGCACAAAGGTGAAGCGACAAGGCCCCTTTGCACACTAGTCTGAGTTCCCACAATGTCACTTCTGCCTTCTTCTTCTTCTTTTTAAAGATTTTATTTACTTATTTTGAGAGAGAGGGGAAGAGAGGGAGCAAGAGGGAAGAGAAAAATCAATGCGAGAGAAACATGGATTGGTTGCCTTTCATATGCGCACACAAGCCAGGCATGTGCCCTGATCAGGAATTGAACCTGTAACCTTTTGGTTTGCGAGATGGTGTCCAACTGAGCCACACCCATCAGGGTTCTGCCATATTCTTATCAGCAAAACAAGCCCCCAAATTACAAGGGGTGGAGAAATAGACACCCTCCACTCCCCAGAAGTCAACTTCTTCCTAAAGAGTTGCTTTGTAGTTGTTGGAGGAACCTGAGTTTGTAAAGCAGATCCCCCAGGGATGGGCAGATAGGTTACTTCCAGTCTTTTATAAGCTAGGTCAAAGCTACTCTCCAGGGCGGATATGGTTCAGTGGCAGGAGCTCAGTCTATCTCCCCTCCTGGGGAGTTCTGCCTGAGCCTCCACAAAGTCAGGTCTCCCATTTGGGGCCACCACAGCATTCCACTTTCATCCTCAGGCTACAACATAAAGACTTGTGCTCTTAAAAAAACTCCCCACACACCTGTGGCCTAGTGCCTTTGCTTGAACTTGAGAGATTGGGGCACTTCCTCTAAGCCCCACAGCAAGTGGTAGAGATTTGAGCCTTGGACTTCGTGGCTGTTGAGGGCAGCTCTCGCCCTCACAGGTTCGCTAGGTGAGGGGCAATGAATGGAGAGTGGTGTGGAATCTCGGGGCTGCCCTGAAGGGCACAACTGTGGGGTGGGTGGTGGGAACCTGGTACCAGGCACAAGCCTTGCTCCCTCTGCTGCAGAAGCTGGGGGCTGGAAAACCAGGTGTCTTTATCCCGGCCCCTGGCTGCCCAGAGACTCTAATGAGGTCTAAGACCGTAAGCTTGCTGCCCCCACCCCATCCCGTCCAGGGGTTGAGCCCCTGGGCGCTCTCACGCCAAGCCCTCAAGTCTTGGTCCATGTCTTGGCCTCAGGCAGGGCAGGCTGGGCGTGTGCAGTGAATAGGCCCAGGGCCCAGGTTTCAGTCTTTCCACTGTGTGGCCTCCCTGCCCAAGTCCCAGTCTCCCAGTTGTCAAATGAACACAGAAGAATCGCTCCCCAACACTGAGGCACAGAAGGTTTGCGTGCTGGGTATGCCAAGGTTCTAGGTCACAGCCTTCCCTGGGGGTGCAACCCTCCCACAGCTAGGCCAGCACCCCCACTGGCCAGCTGTTGAGGCTTTGGTTCTAAATGAGGCCTCTGATCAGGGCCTGGTGGAGGTGGGCAGGGCCAGATGGTGGGAAGGGCAGGAGGGATGAAGAACATGTGCAAGAGGTGGCCCCACTGCCGCCTCGCTGATTCCCAGCAGCTGGAGCTAGTGCTGCCAGGCCATGGCAGAGCCCAGGTCCCAAGGTAAGCAGGGAGCCAGCCGCTGTTTATCTGGTAGAGCACAAGCCCATCCAGCTGCCGCTCCCTGTGACCCCAGTAAGTGAAGGGGTTGCCAGCCTGCAATTCCCAGCCTCTCTCAACCCTACTGAGTGACAAATCAGACTGATGCAGCTGTTCTCAGCAGAGAGAGTACCGTGGGGGACAGAGTCTTAGTGGACACACTGAGTGTATGAAACGGAGGCCAGGAAAAACTCTGCTTTTAAGAACGGGGCATTGAGCCCTGGCTAGTGTGGCTCACTGGATTGAGCACCGGCCTGCAAACCAAAGAGTTACGGTTCGATTCCCAGTCAGGGCACATGCCTGGGTTTAGGGCCAGGCCCCCAGTAAGGGGCGCATGAAAGGCAACTACACATTGATGTTTCTTTCCCTTTCTCCCTCTTTTCCCCTCTGTCTAAAAATAAACAAACTATTTAAAAAGAAAAAGAATGGGACATCGAGGGGCATTCATGAACGTGACTCCCGATGGACCAGCTAAGGGAGTGTCAGGGTGGAGTCCTGGGTTGAGAAGAGCAGGGGCAATGGCCCTGGGTGGGCCTGGGCCAGACTGAGGGGAGGTGCGAAGTGGGTCAGAACTCAGAGCGGTTGCGGGACTAGGCTGAGATCCAGGCTCCACCTGCGCTGTTCTCGGTGAGATGGTAGCTGTGAGGACGTGACCTGGAAGGCCCTGGTTTGGGGGCCCTCCAGGGTAGCGTATGAAGGCACTGAAGGGACAAAGCAGAGAGGCAGAGGCGGGCTGCTGGCATCTGCCTGCTGAGGAGGCTGATGGCCCGTCCACCCTCCTGGAACCACAGGAGGAAGAGAGGGATGTCTGCACCTGCTGTGGCCCCCAGGGGACTCTGCAGAGGCTCCAGCCTCATACCTCCCCATCCCCCGGCCTGGATGGTACATGCCTTGGTCATCTTGGAAAGCTCCGGTTGCCATAATGGACCACAGCTGGTGCTCGACAACTTGGCTGAACTGAATCCCTGTGACCAGGCTTTGCCAGAATCAAGGCTGAAAGCAAGATTCTGGGGCTCCTGGAAATAAGAGGTATGCAATTTTATTAAAAAAAACAAAAAATAACCTATACAAAAAAAAAGTTCCTTTTCCGTGGGCAGCACGTAAGGCAGGAGGGACAGCTTGGAGTCTGAGGGCGTCCCTGCCTGCACCCTCCCTGCCTGCTAGGCCTCCTGCTGCTGGATGAAGGGGTTGGGGATGGCCTCCATGCCATCCTGCGGGCAGATGAGCACCACGGAGGTGCCCCTGCACACCACCAGGCCCAGCTGGCGGGTGTCCTCTGTGAGTTTGTACTGGTCGTCAGGGTCTGCGGAGGAAGAGAGGGCGGGAGTGAGAACTTGAGATCATGCCTGGGGCAGGATGGGGTCTAAAGACCTGACTCAAAGAGTCCTCCAATCACTTCCCCCACCCCTCCACCTGGGACTTTGGAGGGGACATGCTGGCCGGGGCAGCACGCCAAGTGCCTCCCAAAGCCAGAAATGCAGCCTTTATCCCTGCAACAGCCCACAGACCAGGAGGAGTTCTGGAAACAACCATCCGAATCCTGTCCCCATTTTGGTAATGAGAACAGGAAGCCCAGGGGACTGCAGGGATGCAGGGTATGGAAGCTAATTGGGGGCACTGGCGCCTGAGCCTGCAGAGACCCTGAGTCCATGTTATCAGACGGGCAGCTGGAATACAAATCCGTGGAAGCCCTGTGCGCGGCTACTGTGTACCTAGTCCATGGTGCATTAACAGCAGAGCGAGAGGAGCCCCATGGAAATGACAGCAAGCTCTAGGGGAGCTCTTTTAAGATCACAGCAACTAAAAGTCCCCATTACTGTTACTGAAGGATGTGGGGGAAGAGAAAACCAAGTGGCCCAGTGAAATCAGAAACCCTGATCTGCGAGGCAGCCCTCCAGCCTCAGACCCTGCAGCGACAACAGCTGTCTGGACCTCCCATCCTCTACCCATTCGAACAGGTCCAGGCCTCCGCAAGGAGCTGTTCTGGGAGTGAGATGAGGGAACACAGGCTTACTCAGCAAGTGAGGCAGCCCCTGGTAAGACAGGATCTGTGGAAGGAGCAATAGGCACATCTCCCAGGGCCAGCCAGCCCAAGTGCCGGCAGGCTGTCTTACAGGCAAGGAAACATCCACCCACGGAGGCCAGGCTAGGGCTCTGGGTGGACCCAGGCAGGAAGAGAAAAAATGACAAAGCGAGAGGCCCCCTGGAGTTGACCAGTGGCGCTGAGACCATGCTTCCCCTGTGAAGAGGGCCTCTCCTCAGTGGCCCTGTGACACTCCTGTGTGGCTGCATTAACTGTTCACCTGAGGAACCTGTGTCTTAAAACATGGGTGACCCCCTGAGGGGCAAGACCCCCTCTCTTTCCCAGGTCTTGGAATCCTCTCAATGCCTGACCTGGCTGAGCTGAAGAACTCGTTGGTGGTGGGCCAGGGATGGCCTGGCTGCTGTGGATGGAGGCTCTGGGGAGTTGGCGGTTCAGGGACCAGGAGCAAGGTATGAGGGAACTGGGACTCTTTGCCAGCAGCAGGGGTAACACACCGGGACGGCAGGAGACAGGGCAGACTGGGCTCCGGCAGCAGGTGCCTCAGGATCAGTGATGGTGGATTAGCAAAATACTTCCATATCCTTTAAGTCTCTGAGAGGACAGTCTATTGACCTTGTGTGGAATGCTGGGACAGTGGAAGATGACACATAATCTGGTAACTGTCTGGTCTACAAAGACCGTATGTGTCATTCAGATGGCAGGTTAGTGGGTCTGGAACAGTAAGAAAGGCCAGGCAATGAGGTCTCCAAGCCCCGCTGGCTGCACTCACCTCTCATGTATTCGATGGTGCCATCAAGCACGAGGTTGAGGAGTGGGTCAAACCCTTTCAGGATTCCACTGGCTTGTAGGAATCACCAAAAAGAGAGGAGAAATGGAAAGGTGTAAGATCAACAGTGGTTTGGGTGGCAGGTACCAAATACCACTAATTTACCTCAATTAAAAAACCAAATGAGATTCCTAGGTTATGCCTCTTTGACCAAGTGACGTATCTTTGTACCTGAGAAGGGCTGAGCCCCCCGGTGCCCGATAGGCCATCGACCCTCCCTGTCCCCCGATGCCTCTCCCAACTGTTCTCTCTGGCCTGCACACCTTCACGCTCATTTGTGCTTCTGCTTGTGATGCTCCTCTTCCCACCCCTCCTTTCCAACTCCTCTCATCCACGGACCATTCTTTGCGCCGGGCTCGCCTGGCAGAGGCAGGTACCCCGCTACGTCGGCACTCTGCTTGCCCACTTTCCCTGAAAGGCAAGGGCTGGGCGCTGTAGTGCCTTCTTCTCACTAGATTCCAGCGGCAGATGCAGAGTGAAGCTCAACGTTTACACACAAAGCTGCAAACCCTGACAGGCGCTACCAGGGAAGGCGGAGGGCTCAGGGGAGGCTTCCCAGAGCCAGTACCTTGAGCTGAGAGTAGGAAAATGACCCCAGCAGTTACTCTGGTAAGAGCACTCCAGGCGGAGAAAACGTGTGCCTTTGCAGCCCGGTGGCAGATGAGAGCCCTGTTACTGAGAGGCCCAAACGTCTGTCTTTACTCTGGGACAATGGGGGGCCACCAGAAGGCTGAAGAGCGAGTCAAGATTTATTTTTAACACGTCTCTCTGGTTCACCTGTGGAGGCTGACTGTAGGACACTGGGCGATATCTAGAGACATTTTGGTTGTCAAAACTAAGGGATGCTTCTGGCATCCAGGGGGTAGAGGCCAGGAATGCTGCTCAACACGCCACGGTGCCCAGGACGGCCCCATGACCAAGTACATATTTGGGTCCCACAGGAACAGTGAGGAGCCCGAGGAACCCCGGTGTAGGGTGGTCAGTGAGGAGCTGCAGCGACAAAACCGCACAGGAGGCAAAGTCTTGCATTCCAGTCCCAGCTGCGCTGCTGTGGCTTTAAGTGAAGTCTGGTCCCCGTCCCATGCCTCAGTTTCCTCAGCTGCAAACAGGCATAGCAGCTCTGACCTCCCGGCGTCGCTAGGAAACTTGCACGAGTTATCCAGGCAAAGCACCTCAGCGATGCCCCGGTATCAGCTGACACTTTTGCCCCTAATCACTTCTCGTAAATTGTTAGGGAGTGCGGAACCGAGTGCCTCACCTTCACGGCCTCCCTGAAACTTCACCCGGATCGTCTTGTCGATGTACTTCGACAGGTCCAAGATGCTCTCCTTCTTCTTCTTCTCTTTGTCCTGCAGGAGAAGCAGAGCGCATAAACCATGGAGCGCGGCCGGACCCCACCAGTCTCCGCCAGCCCCGCCGGCGCTGCCTCGCGCTCACCGCCATCTTGCCGTGCCGCACCGCGCCGCTTAGCGCGGGTGCCGCCTCCGCGCTCTTTGACCCCACTCCGAACGCAAGCGTAGCACAGGCACGGCGCTTGCGCCGCGCGCCACGGCGGGGCGTTGCTGGGAAACATCTGGCGACGCCTGCGACCCGCCAACATGGCGGCGGCGCTGGCGTGGCTCGCGGCGGCCTGCCTCCTCCTCGTAGCCCAGGTGAGGGCTGCCCCCGCCCCGTCGGTCCTGCCGGATGCGGTGACCCGGCTCCTAGGTCCCCGGCCGCGCGCAGGTTCTCATCCGCCCCGGCCTGGGGACATTCTCGGGTAACCGCGCCCCCAGCGCGGGCGGTTCGCGGGGTGCGGAGCCCCGTTGTGACCTTGCGGGCCTGTCCCCGGCTGGGCTGCTTTCCCCTCCTCGAAAGCCCTTCGCACAGTCACTCAGTTCCGTGGAGGCCTGAAGTTTGGGGGCCCATCTCCCTCCTTCCGGCCCCTCTGGTCCATCTCTGGGTCTCCAACCACCGCCGGCGACGCTCCTGTCTGCCTCCGTGGCCTTGGCCATGTGGCTGCTTCTCTCGGACCCTCAGTTTCCCCTTACACGCGATGCTAGCTCCCACCCTCGTGGCTGTGGTAAGCTGTCGAGCGCGACACCTATGCGGTATCGAGGAGCGGCCAGGAACCCTGGAGTGGGGTCGAATTTCCGTCTTATTTTTACTCCGTGACCTTGGGCGAGGGAGTTCCTCGCTTTTGGGGTCAGTTGCTTCTCTGCAAAAGGAGCCTAAGAGTGCAGTGTGGACTCAAGCGAGATGGTGCATGGGGTGATGAACCGTAGTATGTTTGTTACTTCTTTGTCACTTACCGTTAAGGGTCTCAGGTGCTAGTGAAAGACCGACCGTGAAATGGCTGATGTACATTGTCAGGGGTGCATCTTTTATTTTCAAGTCCTCCCTGTCCCCTGGGTTCAGTAGCTCAGGGAACAGTTTCCTTAACAGCCCCGAAAACGGGCCATTAACCTTGACCTGTCCACTCCACTCCACCCCACCACCACCTCTCTGTTATTCTCCTGGTGGGTGGCTGGGGGGTTCTCCCAAGGCCACTTTTGTCCCTCACAGTCCCAGTTCATTCTCAACACAGCAGTGATGTCTTTCAAAGTGTGTCAGGTCTTGTGATCTGGCTGCTCAGGAAGTGTCTCTCCCTTTCCAGCTCCACTGGATTGAAGGCGCTCTGCTTTTTATTTTTTTCTGTTTTCTGGGACCACCCTGGCCATCCTTCTGGTCTCAGCTTAGCAGTCCCCTTTCTCCCAGGTTCTCTGGGATGCCCCCTCCCATCTGTTTGCCAACCCCCTGTAGTTCCCCTGACCTCGTTTAATCACCAGCTTGAGGTCTGAGCAATCTGAGGGCAGGGTTTGAGCTCTCCAGACATTCTGAACAAGGGGAAAACGAGAGAGCAATGAAGGGCCATGGGGACGCCATGGAGGGAGTGACTCAGTTTGCCTGCGAAGGCATTTTAGGAGCTGTGGCATCCAAAGGGTGTTCTGTAGGGTGTTTGCCAGGTCCTGAAGGCATAGGGAAGGTGGTGCAGGTGGTGGGAGCAGCGTGAGCCAGGTGGAGGTGTGAGAGCTGATGACTTATCTGGGGACTGTGAGGGGTCTGCTGTGGTTGGTGTGTAGGGTGGTCCGATGCTTGCACCCTAAGATGCCACCCTAAGGGAGCTCCTTCAGGTGCACTTGAAGACAAGCTTGCTTTCCCCCTCAGCGGGAGGGCAGGGACAGGGCCAGCAGTGGGAGTGGCTCTAGGCAGAGGCTAAAGGGCCGGCCAGTCATGTAACCTTCCTGGGCTGGAGTCTAGGGGGACAGGCTGAGCAGGTCAGAGCCAGGAGGTGGGAGATCATGGTGTTGGGGCCTTTGGACTTTTTCCGGGGCAGGCTGAGGGCTTTGAACTTTATCCTGAGCCTAGAGAATCGGAGTGTTGGAGAGAGTGAGTAAGCAGTTGTGACTGTTCTTCGCAGAACAGAACTCTGGTCAGAAACCCTGACATGGCACAGTACCTTTCCTTGGGTGGGTGTGTTCCTTCGTGGTTCCTCCAATAGACTAGCTCTCCCTGGGGAGGGGACGGTGAGTGCTTGCTGACAGCCCTAAACTCACTTGCTACCATTTTGTGATCAGTGAGGGATTTAACCTCCCTTAACAGACCAACGTCTCTCAGTTGCTATGAGATACGTACTTAAAGGCCAGAACAAGGCTATTATTCACTAGGTCATAACTAATGTTAGTGCCCTCCTGCCCTGCCTGCATCTGTTCTCCCTAAGCTTTTTCCACCTGTTCCTCTGTCCCTTCTCTACCTGCCCCCCGAACTTGTCCCCAGTGCCTCGTGTACCTGTCCCGTCCCCCCTCACACTGCCTTCCATCCAAACATCTCTTTCCAAGCCTCTGGGTCCTTATTTCTCTGCCCTCTCCCAGGACTCACTATGTATTCTGAGGAGGAAGTCTGGACCCCTTACTCACTACAGCCCCTGATGTGGATGCTTTCACAGTAATCGTGAAGCATAGTGTCCCTGGAAGTTACTGGGTCTGCTCTGTGAATGCGCTGTGTCAGAAGGTGGCTTGTCTTCAGGAGTATTGGCTGTTTCTGGTTCTCCAAATTGGGATGGGCCATGTTGGAACGTGGGCTGGGTCTTTTGAAGAACTCTCGCCTGTTTCTTTTAATTCAGCGGATTAGGTAACTGTATTCAAAGTGAAACCATGATCTCTCTGGTATTTGATACAAGCACAGGCTTAGTTGTACAAGTCATGGGGAGGTAGGTTCGTGAAGCATGCTTGTGAGCTTTTAAATGACTTTAAAAAAAAAAAAAAAGAACCAGTTTCTGTCTATTCTCATTTTACACAAATGAGGATTTTCACCAACAGCCTGGCTCCCATGGATCAGAGGTCAGCACACTTCCCGGAAAGGGCCAAAGAGTGAATATTTTCAGCTCCGCAGGCAGCTGCCCATCTCTGCAGTGGCAGCCAAGAGCAGCCAGAGGCCCTGCATACAGGCGCGGGGCAGCCGCGTTCCAATAAAATGTTATTTGCAAACAGAAGGTGGGCTGATGAGTCCCAGGGGTTGAGGGGCTCTGCTGCTCCCTGCTGTGGTCCGTGGTGAGGAGGTGCCAGGGGCTCTGAGCATTGGAGGGAGCGCACCCTGGGTACAGTACTTGGGGCCAGGATGAGGGACACCCTTGGGGGGCAGTGTCGGGAGAACGTGGAAGAGGGGCCTCCTGATCCTGCCCCTGGTCAAGGGACTGAGACACCATGTGTATGGAGGTTCTCTGGGCACAGGGGCAGGCGGGGCAGGGTGCTGCCTTAGTGCAGTGCTCTGAGGGCCCTGCGTGGCCTCAGGCAGTTCCCTGAGTGCCTGTGACAGTGGCCCCGAGCTGCTTTTTCACTCAGAGCCTCACTCCAGGTGACACAGAAGTGCCAGAGCTGATGGGCTAACTGGAACAGCGTCAGATGGGGACTATGGAACGTGGGACTTGTACCCAGTGCCTGGTGTCAGCCATTAGGCTTTGAGGTTGGGGCGCCCTGGGCTTTTCTCCACACTGCCGCCACCACTACTGCCTAGGTGACTAGGGCCGGGGTAAGAAGCTCCTGGAGTGGCCCGGCTGTGCTTCCACGGAGAACCCGTTGTCTGAGAGCCAGTCTGCGCCCCAGGCGTGGTGTCGGCCCCCACGGTCTATCAGGACTCTTGGCCAAATCAGACTCCCCTCCACTCCCCTACCTCGGCAAAGCCACATCTGCAGAGCGGACCTGGGTTCCACTGTGCCAGCTGGTGACTGTCCCCATCGTGTGTCCATTGCCGGGAGCAGCTGCCACCTGTTTGTCTCTGTGGCAGACTCTCTGGGAAAACCATGGGTGTGGATCCAACTCTCTCTGGAGGCATTTTTAGCCCAAGGGAAGCAAGAGCTACAGAAGCAAAGGCCCAGGAGCCTGAAGTGTGCAGGGCTTGATCAGGGTCCAGACGGGGCCTGCCAGCTCCAAGAAGCCCTGGGACTAGGAAGGGCCAGGGCCTGTGCACGTGGTGTGTCCAGGCCCACTGGCTGGGTGCTGGCAGGTCCAAGGTTGCACCCAGGTCTCCCTGGGGAGACTTGTCTCTGTACTTGCCTTCCTCATTTTCGCCACTATGAAATACATATGCTGTGTCCTTTCTGTCCTGTCTGAGGGAGGAAGCCAGCCCAGCCCTCACAGGCAACCTCATTTAATTTGGGCCCCATGTTACCTGGGCAGTCTGCCCCCCGCCCCCCCGAGCTCACTGATCCCTGCCCCATTGCTCCAGGTGGCCTGTGAGTATGGCATGGTGCACGTGGTCTCTGAGACGGAGGGCCCCAAAGGCAAAGACTACTGTATCCTCTACAACCCGCAGTGGGCCCACCTGCCACACGACCTCAGCAAGGCGGTGAGTACTGGGCTGGTGGCCCTCCCTGCTGTGTGGCTCTGAGCACCCCTTCCAGCTTGGGGTCTTGTCGTTCTTGCTGCCCCCCTCCCACCCCGTGCCTTGAGGAAACTCATCCGCAGACAGCCAGTCCAAGGATGGAAGAAGGACCTCAGCTGGGAAACCATGGGGTGGGATCTGGTCACACTAAGGCGTCTGGGGCATCCCCAGAGGGCCAGGCACCACAGCCTCTCTGGGCCCCAGTTTCTTTGGTCATGAATGACAGATGTCTGGAGTGCTGTCTAGGCATGGCCCCTGGTGGAGACACCAGCCAGGCTGCCACTTGTTAGGTGCGGGCGGGCTGGCAGAGGAGTGGCAGTGGAGGGCGAGGCGTGGCAGGGCAAGGGCCCTCCGCTGCCTCCTAAGAGACCGCCCTCCCTGGTCTGGCCTTGCTTCTCCCCTCAAAAGGGCCTGGAGGATGCTCTTATGGGGTGGAGTCACACTACAGAGGCTGACGCTCCTGCCCTTTGTGTTCCGTCTGTAACGGATGCTGGAGGTGGATCTGGAGATGAAGGGAAGGTTTTGAGGGGTTTGCTCTGAGCGCATACCGCCCCATCCCAGCGGCCTGCCTTGTGCTTGGCGTGCG